TGGGTGGACTTGTTGAATGAAGGCCTTTTCTGTTTTATTTGGACAGGGTAGGATGCAGTGTTCACAAGGTCTGTTAGATCTGGAAAACATCCAGATCACGGAGAGAAGGCAGGGTCCAGGTAGCATGTACACCATATATTTGAGCAGGAGGTTCAGGGTGCTCATTTCCTCTCTTTACTTATATTTAATGGTTTGCTTAATACTTATGATTTCTTGGGCAAGGGAAGAGTGTTTTATCAGTGTGACACCTGAGGGGAAGATCTCCGTTTATAATCATTTACACTAGTGGGTATGTAGTACCCTTAGTCCCGGCTAAATTTGGGTCCTCTATCAGCACACCTCTTCCCCTCTAACACATACTTCCCCTCTAACACACTACTGGGTGTTCTGGTCCTCACCCTTTCATAAGGACACTTGTGAAAAAAGGACAATCCACATGATCCCTTATTAAAGATAGAAGTCAAGATATTTGGAGCCTAGACTGGTATCTTCTTGCTGGATCGTCAGTGGGTGATGTATTGACCGTAACAGAATGGAGATTCATCTTGGTGAAGTAAGAAGGAACCCATGCAGATCTCAGCTCCAGAATATTATATTCTGTCCTAATTAGAGACATGAATCCTGGTTCTAAGTATAAGGTGGGCAGAGACAGAGATGGGCATATAGCACAGAAAGACTCAGGGACTCAGGTATCTCTAGAACTTTCTTGTTCTGTTAACCTCACTCTCAGTAGAGACTAGATTTATCCAGAGTGGCAACATGGTTGCTATTAGATCCCAAGCTTACATCACACAATTTCTCTCTCAGTAACTTTCAACACTGGTGTTGGACCAACTCATCAGTGTCTGTTTAAAAAGTCCTGAGGGAGAAGGCTGTGAATAGTTCATTTCAAGCCTTATTGATGAACTATGGCCTGGGGATAGAGTTAGGTAGGAAAATGGACATATTCTTGGGTGAGTTGGGAAATTCCCATGGTAAGAGGAGAGGGACATTGTACAGACAATTCCACAGTGTCCTCTATACAAATCCATCAACAAGAGTGGCTGCAGTTATGAATCTCATATTTTAGCTGATTTAGTCACATTGTTAAATTTGGAGAGTCTGACTCTGATCGTCATCTCCAATATCCCAACTCTTCCATTTCCCTTTACATTCACTTTCAGTCTCATCAAAACCAACAGTGGATAATTCAGAGGACTTTTTCTTTCCCCAAATGCAGCCTGCAGTACATAAAATTTGTTGAATTTTCCCTCATACCGTTATCTGCTGTTTATCACTTGCTTCCCTCCCTGATGTTTAGATTCTCTCTCCCTCTGGTTGGTCTGGACCCAGTGGACCCACCATGGTTCTAGTGACTTAAGCGTCTATGTGCCGCTCTCCTGGAGGTTTGCACCCTGACTTCTGAGGCAGTTTGTGGCTGCACCCAGGCCTCTGCCACTTCTCAATTTTTTCATATTTTATCTGCTCTTGATCAATTTTCCTCACTGCTCTCAGGGAAATCATCCTTTATACCAGTGTTTAAAATCCCCTGGGACTCCATTTCTTCACTCATTTCACTTCCCTTTCGTGACCTGTCCGAATCTATTTTCCCTTCTTTCCGTGGATCGCCAGTCAAGCTACTTCTCGCTTGGCTTCCTTTCATACTGCCCATAACAGCTGGTTGAAATGTTTGCTGTGCATTTTAAGCTGTATGTTACATAACTCTAGTCCCCTAGCATAGAATAGGTAGCCATACAAAATTTATTGAATCCATGAATTGATCAATTATTGGCTGAAAAAATGAATTTATCATGGGGGAAACTAGGATTGAAATGTAAATAGGAATATACAAATACATATATTGCACTTGAGTTCCATTGAGCACCTATATCTTCGTGGTGAATATTCCTTTCTTATTAATTTACAGAATATTCTAAGAAATAATCCACCTAACCTCTAAATATGTTTATAAATAATAAACCATGGCATACCATCTTAAGATTTAGGTTAAGTAGTTTCAACTTCAATATTAAGTTGGTCTCACTGAAAAAGCAAGATTAATCATGAAGTGATCAATATCTATTTCACAAAATGGGGTGGGGAAAATCACTGTATAATTTGATGAAATAAAAGTGAAAACAAGACCTGAAATTTATTTACACCAGTTAATCAACACGTGAGATAGAGGGTATCTGAGTACAATTATTAATATGTATCAGAAATCTTATCAGCTATGACTTATAAAATGTTCTAGCAAGTTTGAAGTACTGGTAATCATTTGGCTTAAATGACTATTGAATAAAAAATGAACTGTTACACAGCAGACGTGGAGGGAACTCAAATAGGGTAAGTTTATGCTATCATTCGGAGAAGGCAATGGCACCCCACTCCCATACTCTTGCCTGGAAAATCCTATGGGCGGAGGAGCCTGGTGGGCTGCAGTCCATGGGGTCACGAAGAGTTGTACACAACTGAACGACTTCACTTTCACTTTTCACTTTCATGCATTGGAGAAGGAAACAGCAACCCACTCCAGTGTTCTTGCCTGGAGAATCCCAGGGACGGTGGAGCCTGGTGGGCTGCCGTCTATGAGGTTGCACAGAGTTGGACATGACTGAAGCGACTTAGCAGCGGCAGCAGCATGCTATAATTTGAGACCAGCTAGAATTTATTTTTTAGAAGTGATTGGAGTTAGCGGCTGGTATTATATATCAGTGAAATTTAAAAAATCATATAAAAGGAAAACGAGGCACATGTAACCACATTTATTTACTAAATAACTGTATCCTTGGGAATGTGAACATAGTGTGATGCTTCATGAATTCTGCGCAACCCCCAAGGCCTCTCTAAATGCTCCCCCCACCACACCTCCCATCAGCTCCTTTATTTATCACACTAGCCTTTGGCCACTGTTGATGGAGTCAGATGAGTACCTCCACCTGCTCTGTGCGGATTCTCCAGAACAATGGCCTCTAGGATGAGGCAGCTGCCAAGGGCAGGAGAAGCATTACAACACATTTTTCCAAGGCAGTTGCATTCCTGCTTTTGCACATGGCACTTGCAGCCTTCCAGTAAATTTTCCTTTTCTGCTGAACTCTAATAAACATTCCTTGCTGCTGAGGCTATGGTGAGATATGGTAGCATTGAAAACAGTTACGTTTTCTGGAAAATATTTGGTAAAAGGTATGTTAAGAATATTAAAAATGTTCATATCTGTATAATCATTTATATCGCTTCTAGGAGTGTATCAGAAAGGATTTATCAGATTTGTGTACTTTAATGTTTATGTACAATACAATTCATGATACTGAAAAATCAGAAAAAATTAAATGCTCAAAAATTTGAATACTAGCAAACTGATGTGTCTATATTTTGTAATGTTATACAGTTACTTATTTATTTTTGCATTTATTTGTTTGGCAGTACCCAGTCTTAGTTGTGCACACAGGATCTTTAGTTACAGCTTGTGGGATCTAGTTCCCCGACCAGGGGTCAAACCTGGGTCCCCTTCATTGGGAGCATGGAGTCTTAGCCACTGGACCACCAGGGAAGTCCCCTACAAAAAGACCCAGTAACTGTTTTTCTAAAACAAGTATTAAATTGTTTTAGAAAAAAAAATTTAATGGTGTAGCAAACTGCTATGCTATGTCATTAAATGGAAAATTTGCATACAAAATACATTATGATTTCAGTATCGTGATTTAAACATGTATGTGTGTATAATGAATATAAGAAAAGTAGAACAAGGTACTCAAATGTTAAAATGGTAATTTTTGAGCAGGAGAACTAGATACGACTTTTTTTTCTTATATATTCTTATATGTTCTATATTTGTTACAATTATCATGCATGTGAATAGAAAAACCCTATTAAAATTTTGTGTAAAATAATGTATTATTTTAGTGTTATAAGGAACGAGTTATTTCTTTGTTGCATGACAAACTCTGGAAAACTCAAAATGGTATATTTATTCCATGTTGTGCAGTGGAAGAAAGTGTGTTCTTTGTATTTTCAATAGCAGGATATTAAATCTAAAACCAACAGTATTAAACTATCAGTTGTATCAAGATTTAATTAAATGGAAATACATTTATACTTATTCACAGTTGTCTTGTTTTAAAAATAAACCAACAATCTACTTTAAGTAATGAAGATTAAATACATTGCAATAACATTATTTTAATGTGAATATAACTTTGCCAAATTTTAATAAGATAACAGCAGTTTAGAGAGATACATGCACAGGTTGAATATATACTTTTTAAAACAGTAAGGCATATTTTATGATATATAATCTTTTCACCACAAAATATATATACTTCTCAGATCTGAACTAAAACTAACATGACTACCTGGGACTGGAATAACACCTTTACAAGTAATTTAATTTTTATACATGACTACAGTAACATCATTATACAAATAAGCCACTCAGCTGGCATATTTTGGCAGTGTGAATCTATAAGACACGGGCTGCATTTCATGAAAGCTTCTGAAACCTGACAACTACCGCTTAGCGAGTCTTTGTATGAAATGTGCGGTAGCAGGTACAAGTGGACCGCGGTTGCTAATAGCTAAATAGGCACGAAAGCTTTGCTGTCCTTTGGAAATTGGGCATGGCAGTCTTAAGCTCTTCTCTCCTGTTGCTCCTCTTAAGGTTTAACATATTCTAAGTACTTTCATGTGGAAATCAAAAATAACAGAACAAGAGCAGCCTAGGGAGAAGACACTTCTCCCAGTAAAATTTCCAAATCAACACTTTCATCCAGTTTCTGACATCCGTTCTTTGAGTGGGCATCACCTGTCTAATGCAAAACATGGCAGAATGTGGCTTTGCGTTGTTGAGTCGCAAAGGGACAGAACTTTTGCTCAGAGCTGTAGATGCCTCAGTTCAGTCCACATGATCTATTTCTCCTTTAATTCTGAAATGTAGCCCATGCTCGTTCGGCAGTGAGGTGTTGTACAAGAATGCTTTTCTTGCTCCTTCTTTAAGGTGACTTCGCAGACAGGTTTCAAGGGTGTCACTCAACCTCAAGGCATGGGGCAGGCTTCTTGGTAGAAGAGTTTCCATTTTCTGAGGGGCGGTAGGAGAGTGTGCTCATTTTTGTTGACAGGTTTGAGTGGGATTTGGTCTTTGGGGGAATGTATTTCAGAAGCTGTAGAAAATATTTTTTAAATTTTTTCCCTAGAAAGCCATAAAAGAGAGGATTCAGGCAATTGTTAAAATAAGCCAAGCAAATAGTGATGGGCATGGCCGTGTCAACAATATCTTCAATTTTACAGTCACGGATGAGGCCCAACTGAATTAACACATCCATAAAAGTGAATATCTGGTGCGGAACCCAGGAAAAGAAAAAGAAAAGCACGATTGCCAAAATTATCTTGAAAATGTCATCTTTTCTTGGTTTGTTCTTCTGAATTTCATAAGCCTTCTTGAGGGTCTTCCAAATAAGAGTGTAGCTTGTAAGAATGATCAGAAAAGGAAACAAGAATCCCAGTATATTCTTGGTGAGGCCCAACCCTACCGGGAGGGTAGAATTTTGGGATTCGTAATGGAAAGCGCAAACTGTGATATTGGTGTTCTCGATGAAAAACACATTGCGGTGGATTATAGTTGGCAAACTGGCCAAACCTGCCAGCAGCCAAATAACGATGCAGGTGACTTTGGCCACAAGCATCGTGCGCCGGAGGCGGGACTTCATTGGGTGAACAATAGCCAGGTAGCGGTCAATGCTTAGACAGGTGAGGAGAAACACACTGGCGTAGAGGTTGAAACTGACGCTGGCTGAAGCGATCTTACACAGGTAATTGCCGAAGGGCCAGCGGTATTCCATAGCAGTGTAGACAGCCCACAGTGGCAAGGTCAGTAAAAAGCATAAGTCAGCCAGAGCTAAATTCAAAAGAAAAACACTGGCCACAGTCTTCAGTTTCATGTAAAAGTAAATGACAATCACCACCAAGCTGTTTCCAAATATCCCCACCACAAAGATAATACTATATAAAGTAGGGATCATGATGAATATGTAATTGTGCCTTCCAGCTTTGGGACAATCATCTTGGATTCTTTTAATACCATCTTCAGTGGAAGAGTTGAGGATCATTGTGATCTCTTGGGTTAGTCAGTCTCAGACACTATGCCAAATGCACCTAGAAAAGATAAAAATGAAAAAGATGAAAAAAATGAAACTTCCAGTTGTAAACAAATAGTTTTATTTCTAATTCATAAATACAGTACCTTAACTTTAGTTTTAGGAAAAGAAATAAGATCATATTTTCTGGAGAAAAGCTGTGAGCAGATAAAAATCTAAGACTGCACATTTAAATTAAGTTTCAGAACACATTGCTTTTCTAGGGAATGATAAATATCCCCCAGATCAGTGGAAGTGGGTTCCTAGGTGAATACTCACATAGGTCCTTTGACTTTTTTTCTAAGAGTAAATCCTAGATTAAAAAACATAATATAAATCTCAGAAAATACTGCTGAATTAAATTGGTTACTCAGAAAGACTTGAGATTTTCCTTAGGTAAGCAAAGCTAATTGTCTTAAACCTCAGAAATGTGACATATCTGTACCTTATTCTTTGAACCATTCCTTTCATGTCACAATCTTAGGTATAAAGATTATTAGCATCCTCTCTTAAGTGGTTGGGATTGCTGCCTCTAGGTTGAGGAAGGATTTGCCTGAGGAATTGATTTAAGAGGGGATAAAGGGAAGGCCAATGGCTTTGGGGAACAGCATTCTTTGTATGGTTTTCCAGGTTGTTACATGCAGTCACCACTTACTCTTTAACTTCCAACTCAGTGTAGCAAAAGGGCCTGAATCTCCTAACTTTGTGCCCACAAGCCATTTCTGGAGCTTAATCTCAATTAACCATTTGTTTAATAAAGGATGTAAAATAAATAGATTAGGTTAGGATTAACAATAAAATGTGTTTTGTCAGGGTTCAAGGCAGCAGCAGCAGTTCTGTAGGATTTTAGGAAGAATCAGATGCTCTGAAATGAGCTCCATAAAGACCTCTGCAAATATTTGCTCCAATATTTTACATAATCAACAATCAAGCTTCTCATTGATGTGATTTAGAGAAGCATCATATTCTGCCGTAGACAAGAGTCTATCTAAAAACCCTTGGAGGGAAGCTGGAGGTGCTGTGAGGGTCACATGGCAGGATGGGGCACAGGCACGCTCTGAGTTGAAAGGCAGCCCTAGGCATCGGCAAGGCTGGCCAGGCAGGGGAGGGATGTTGGCTAAAGACCCCATTGCTCCACCAGGAGTGTGTCCCTAGAAGAGCATGGGTCCCTAGATTTGCTTCCCCTTGTAGCAAAGTGTCCAGGGTAAGAAGAGGAACGGGAATAAGACACTTCTAGTCTGCCCAGGTGTTCTTGCCTGAAGAATCCCAGGGGCGGGGGAGCTTGGTGGGCTGCCGTCTATGGGGTCGCACAGAGTCGGACACGACTGAAGCGACTTAGCAGCAGCAGCAGTCTCCCAGGAGAGCTGCATCTAGTGTCTGGGAGAGCTGGCTGAGCACACGCACCTAAGGCAGCAGTGAAGTGGTGCTATGAGGAGAATGAGTCTCAATTAGCCAGATTATAAAATGTAACACTGGGAAAAAGAGGGTCTTAAGTGGTCTCTTTGCCTCCCCCAAGGGGGGCAGTTATTCTCCCTACCTGAGGTTTTTGGCTCTATACCCTCTTTATCTTCTCCTTTTGTAGTCAGAACTGTATGAACTAAATCCCTTTCTTATCTTTTCATTCACAGGGGTCTCAGCATCCACCCACAGGCAAACGCCACACGCTCCGTGGGGCCTTCCTAACTTGCCTGGGCAATTGGCTGTTCCCTTGCTTTGAGCTCTTTTGGTGCTTTGGATGTAGGTTTTGCCCTGTGTATTATAACGACATGTTGACTTATCTGTTTTCTCCGCCGGTCTGTCAGCGGTTTGAGGATAAGGCCTGTCTGGCATCATCTTGTTCACTAGTGTAAACCCTTATACCTTCCAGAAGGCAGACAGTAAATGTCTGATGAGTAAGAAAACAGGTGGACACATGAATGGGTGAATATTATACAACTTAAAGCTGTAAGCAGAGAGTATTGAGACTAATTTCTAGGGGGCTAATGAAATCAATTCACATTCTGCTCCCAAAGAATCTGATAGAAAATGCTCAGTGTCAACCTGAGCCTCACCTTTGATAATAAGCTAAAACCTAAACCCAACCCAATTTAAAGTGACAAAATAAACCCTTGGCACTTTTAGAAATCTGTAGTTTACAAAACAAAAGAAGATGAAAATAAGGAATAATTTAATAGAAACTAGGGCTAAGTTACCAGAGAGGTTTGACCTATTTCTTTTTCACCCAGAAGGATTTCTCTACACTTTCCTGATTTTTCAGTTTTTAAAAAAGTCATAGTTACTAAAATTATGCCAATTTAGAAGTATATATTCATTTAGGTAAACAAATATTCTCTATTAAAAAGTAAATACTTCATAAATGGCTAGTAGTCATTTACACCTTAATGTGGATTAATTATTTGTTCTTCTAATATCTAGTTGAGATAAGTTGGATTTTGCCTAGGAAAAATTGAAAATGTCAAGGTTATAGAATCTCAAAGATTAAAAGTGTCCTGGGTTGAACTCCATGACTCTGTAACTGAACATAGGGAGAGTTAAATATTTGTTTCACTTTAGGCATAAGGGCACTAAAAGGAAGGAATAAATTTGGGTGCCCTGAGTTGGGTGCCCAAGAGCAGGGAGGAAATTCTCTTTCTTCTCTTCATCTTACTTTGAGGGCACACAACTCTGGTTGGTTCCATTAATTTTTGTCTAGAGGGGGTAAAATTTTATTGAGTAGGCCTGAACTGTAACCATCATTTATAAAAGAATCCCTGTGGAAAATTTTGTATTTGAAAGGACCAATTTATAAACATGGATTTGTAGTCCAGTTCTTTCACATTGTGAGGTCAGCCTTTTCATAAGTTTCCATCGATCCATATTGACTAATATAAAAGGTTGCTCTGAGCAGCTAGAGCAGCATCCCTGGAAATGTGAGTGAGGCATCTATTGTTTTAATGAATATTACTTGAGAAACTCTGAGCATAGCACTGAATATACTAATTGGAAGAACATTTTATATAAATGTTTGTGTAAGTAATGACCAAGACTTCCTACTAGTAAGGAGAGAGGGAGAGGAACTTCAGTGATGAAAGCATCAGGAACAAGTACAAGGAAGCAGAAATGCAAACAGTGCATTCATCAGGCAGTTACCCTTTCATCCCATCTTCACTCAACACCTATTACGTGTTGGGGTAAGGAGTGCAAAGTGAATAAAATCACAGTCCTTCTGCTCCTCCTGATAGTCTAGCTGGGGGATTAGGAGACTTGAAGCCAGAATTGTCTCTGATGTGTTGAATCCTTATACCATACCGTAGGCATGTGAAATGTTCTGTATTTATTACTGACCCTGCCTAGTGGTGAGGATTTCTGAGAATGATCAGGGACGCTTCCCAGAGATGGCGCGTAGGCTTTGGAGGATGTATGGAAATCAGAGTGGTTAGCACTTAAAGGCAAGCATCTGGCCAGCTAGGGTAGACTAGAGGTTTTGTCATCGCTTGAATTTCTCCTTCTTTACGAATGCCTGCAGCTTCATCTATGGGAAAGGGCTCCTGTAAATTTATAGATACTGCAGAACCTTCTGGGCATGGATAGTATATGAATGTGTCCTGGATGGAAGGGTGCCACAGGCCATGCAGGTGTGTAAAAAATATCATTCTCTTAGTCTGCACTGTTACCACTCATAGCCTTCCCTGGAGAGAGCTGGTTCTAAGGAGAGAAAAATGGAACTCCTATGATTGGAGTCACCTTCGATTGATAATAAACAAATGGAGAAGACTAGGCTGCTTCTCTTTGACGCTTGAGAGGATGCTGTTTTGGTGAGTAGCTGAAGGAGGAAGAGATGTGGGCTGCAAACTTTTGAGTCTCGGAAAGCAGCTATTTTTTTGTTTCTTTCTGCTGCTTCTCCCAGGAGGGTCACAGGCGGGTAGGATGCTGAGTGAAAACGTGGGGGGGGGGCCCTCTCTCTATTTCTGCGTCTCTCTGTAGCTTTTACTCAGGCTCTGCGCTTTACATGAGCTCCACAACATCATCTCCTCTTGGGGGAAGGAAGATGGAATTCAGAGTCAAAATGCTTGTCAATGAATTTTCCTTTCCCACGCATAGGTATGTGGAGCTCTGAGTAAGTCATCCCATTTCTCTGGATGTAAGCCTCAGTTTCCTCATCTATAAGAAATGGGAGCAATGCCTCTCATTGCACTAAATTGTTGTAATTAAATGAGATAACTTAAAAGTACTGGGTCTATCTCTCAAGCAGTAAGTATTTAATAAGTGTGTTTTATGTGGATCTTTACTATTATTATTTTGAATGCAAAGCAAGGGCTGGTTCAGCCATGAGTCAAAAAAGCATGAGAGATTAAAAAAAAAGTTTATCACTGGCAACCTCTTTTTCTGGCCATTAAAAGGCTAAAAACCCCAAGCGGTTGTTCTAACAAAGTATGAGTAAAAACTAATCTTAAGCAGCTGAATACATTTTCCATGAGTCAGGTGGGAACTCTCAGCCTGCGGCAAACACAAAGTTGGCTCATGGTGGCCACACCACATTTATCTACAGGTTGTTTAGTAAGAATTACCTTGCAATCCTTGATAGCTTCCCTGGTTCTTAAAAACAAACCCAAGAAAGATTTTCTTTTTCTTTTTTTTTTTTTTTAATTCTAAGAATATTTCCCCAAGACGTTCGATTAGAATATTTTTTTGACTTTTCAAGAACAGCTTTGTATTTTTTCCTTAATTTTTATTGGAATATAGTTCCTGCACAATGTTTTGTTAGTTTCTACTGTATAGCCAAGTGAATCAGCTTCACATACACATGTACCCCTCTTTCATGGATTTCCTCCCCATCTAGGTCACCACAGGGCACTGCTCAGACTTCCCTGTAGAGTGGGTCCTCATTAGTTTCCTATTTTCTCCATAGTATCAATAGCGTAAATGTGTCAATGCCAGTCTCCCAGTTCTCCCCACCCCACCCTTCCCCTTTGGTATCCATACATCTGTCCTTT